AAGGGCCTCCCAGTGACGCATGGTCATGCTGTCATCTTCTTTCCTCCCTTTTCCTTCCTCTCAGGATCCTGGGCACGTTTCTAACATGTGTCTTGACCCCTGGGTTGAGGCTCAAATTGCAGTTCACCACGCAGATCCAGCTCCTTCCACACATGCAGTGAGGCCCATGCTGCATGTTTTTCCTTTCCACCTTTGTGCCCAGACTCAAGCTGCCCTAGGTCTGGCGTGTCCTTTCCTGTGGGTGTCCTGTCTGCCCTTCAAGGCCCCTTTCTGCTTTGGAGTTCTTTCTGAGCTCTCAGGCTGGAATGGGGCCTCCCAGACACTGCGGCTTCTCCTTTAACCCCTGTTCCCCTGAAGTATGTTTATCCAGAGACACATCTGTTTCCCTCATTCGGTTGCAAGGTATTGGAGGGAGCAGCTCCTGGTTTTCCACTGCCCCTCGGTGTCTGGCCTATGTGGATCTGCAGTTGTTAAGTCCGATCGCCCGATTTGCCCCAGAGCGCTGTTTTGGCCACGGCCTCCATCCAGCCGAACTTGTTCAAGGTCACTCGCCCATGCAGAAGCAAAATCTGGTTCTGCTCACCGGAACCTCTTCCTGGTCTGCTCAATGTGAGCCTGCCAGCCTCAGTGGCACATTGGTCCCCGAGCTGCCCCGTCACCCGGCATAGTAGCAAGATGGAGACGCTTATCTTCCTAGATGGTTGTGTCTGTAGCAATTTTCCTGGAGAGACGAGTCTGCCCGCTGCTCCGAGGGTGCAGGGTCATGGAGCAGTCTAAGGAGCAGGGCTTTTCTGTCCCAGCTGCCAGTAGCCACCCTCCATGACCCAGTGGCTTACCAGGAGGGAAGGATGGCCTGGTATGTTGAAAGGAAGGCTTGACTGGCATCGTGACCTGGTCACTCAGCCCACTTTGGCTTCACCCCAGCAGGCCTCTGCAGCCTTCCCCCCCTGAGCCTGGCTGGCGTGTGCAGCATCCCTCCACTGCCAGGAGATGGAGGGGAAGCTCCAGGACCACGGCCCCCGTCGGTGCCAGTCAGTTTCCCGCCTGCGCACACTCGCACAGGGGTCGGGGAAGTGCCGGGTGGCTCCAGCCGGTCCCTGCTCAGCGCTGCTGTTTCCCCGCAGTACATCTTCGCAGACGCGTACGCCCAGTACCTGTGGATCACCTTTGACTTCTGCAACACCATCCAGGGCTTTCCCATTCCATTCCGGGCAGCCGATCTCCTCCTCCACAGCAAGGCCGCCAACCTCCTCCTGGGCTTCGACAGGTCTCACCCCAACAAGCAGGTAAGAGAGCTTCCGGAATTCTGCCTCGCGAGCTTCCTGCTGTTTTCTGCCCTGCCCGTGGGGGCTACGTGTCCTCAGAGGGACCTCTCTGCCTTCCTCTCCCCCATCCCTTCTCAAGCTTCGCCTTTGGAGCTACTGTTTCACTTGCCACAGCACCCCCCCACACACACACACACACCCAGCACACCGCGCCCGCCTCTCAGCCAGCGACCGGCACCTGCACTTAGACGCCGCGCTCGCTCCTCTAGTGCACCTGTGCCCTGGTCAGCCCTCAGGGTATGTCGAGGCTCTGGGATTTAATCAGAGAGAGCCAGTAGAGAAGAGTGGAGTCTGAGTGCTTTGGGACCTCGTGTGGAATTTCTGTTCTCCTTCTCTATTCACTGCTTTAAACTTACTGTTTCTGTCTACCTGTTCTTGGAAGTTACACTGCCCTTAGTCGGTGTGTGTGTGTGTGTGTGTACATGCGTACATAGGCATGAAGTATTTTCCTCTGAGTCCAGGTTGGAAGGGACGCTCACAGACCAGGAGTCTGAAGATTTGTATCTCGAGGTTGAAACTGGCCAAGAATTTTCGTTTGGCTAAACCCGAGAAACCTGTAGATCCTGTGTGTGTGGATTTATGAGTCTTGAGGGTATTTGCCCAGAAGAGCCTTGGAACATTGTTTTCCTGTGGAGATTGTGTAACCAAAACACCGTCTGTTTACCGTTGCTTGCCCGAGGGAGTAACCCAGGTGTGGGCTGGGTCAGTCTGCCACAGAGGTGGATTATTGTCATTCCCAGGCTCATTCTTCTTCATGCACGGTTGCCAGGCCCGGAAGAACCCGCAGGTTATGTCTATGGATGTTGACGGCACTTGGGAGAGTTTGGCAGGTCCAGCACCCGCGGCCATGTCCGGGTATTCCGGTGACCCCTGTTGGTCCTGAGTTCTTAGCCAGTGTCCTCTGCATTCAGCTTTAATTACCAAGGCCCATTATCAGATTTTTCTTTCTTCATTTTTTCATTATGGCTTACCATCTTAACCATTTTTTTTTTTAGGAGAGATTTTTGCCAGAGAGAGACAGAATGACATGGGGGATGGCGATCTTGGGCACACACGCACATGAGCCCTGCATGAGTTTTAAGCTGCTGGTTTGGGACTCGAACTTCGAGTGACCATGTGGGAGTCTAGCATCGTAACCATTACTCTGTCTGCTGGTCCCAACCATCTTAACTCTTTTTAAGTGTACAATTCAGTGGTATTAAATACATACATAGAGTTGTACAGCCATCCCCACCAGTTAACTGATCTCCAGAATTAGTCTTACCTTGTAAAATTGAAACTCCGTATCCACTAAGCAGTCACGTCCCATTTCTTCCTCTCCCAAACCCTGGCGGCCACCATTCTGCTTTCTAGTGCTATGATTTTTGACAATTATAGGTACCTTCTGTAAGTGAAATTGTATGGCATTTGTTTTTCCACATCTGGTTCATTTCACTTAGCATATTATCTTCAAGACTTAACCATGTCGTAGCATTTCCTTCCTTTTTAAGGCTCAAAAATATTCCACTGGACGGAGAGATGACATTTTTGCTTAGTCATGTACCTCTCAGTGGGCATTCAGGTTACATCCACATTTAAGCCCTGGTTAATCATGCTGCAATGCTTTGCCTGTTTTCAGTGACACTGTTTTCCAGTTGAGAAGTACCTGTATAACCTTTTATGTTCTTACCATTACCTAGGGACTAGTCTTCTTAAAAAAAAAAAACAAAAACATTTTCCATAGTGCATGTGTGCTTGCCAGAGAGAGACAGAGGGAAAGTGAGAAATCACCCCCTAGTAGAGTGAGCCACACCACAATCCTTCTCCATTTTCCTCCTGGGATTTTGGCCACACACCCACACCCAGTGTGATTTCAAGCCACCAGGTCTGGGACTCGAACTGCGGTTGGCCATGTGGGAATCCAGTGCCTTCACCACCATGCCACCTACTGGTTTCATGCCTGGAGACTAGTCTTGAGCTAAATAAAGTTTCTGGTCATCTGGCAGTGGAAGGCTGGTCACACCGCTTTTCCTGGTGGTTGCTGAGAGCAGTGACTGGAGGAGGAAGCAGAGGTGTAGATTTGTCTGTCCCCCCCCACCCCCTGCACCCTTTTGGCTTCTGAACTAGCAGAGCTGTTTTGACGATCCCCATGCCCGTCGCTTCACAGATACTGCGCTGTGGCAGGTGGGATTTCAGTGGGGTTTGATGGCAATGCCATGCAGGTTGTGCACGCCATTTTTTTTTCCTCTTTGCAATGTACCATTATGCCAATCATTTGCCTTTCTCTTTTCAAGGAATGAAAGTCCTCCCAAGGTAGGGGTTTCTCTTAGTTTTGTGCTCTGATGTATTTCCGCTGAATGAGTCCTTAAACGGTAACTTTGGTAGAGATTGCCAACCTCTTCTTGCTGTACGGGTCTTTGCAGCTATGGAAGTCAGACGATTTTGGCCAGACCTGGATCATGATTCAAGAACACGTGAAGTCATTTTCATGGTAAGTTGTTACCATCTAAGAAATTCTGACTTACATATCCTCTTTGCTTGTGTTCCCCACTCCCTCCCCATCACGAGAGACGCAGAGGGAAAGA